GTAATTAAAATTTTAATGAAACACTATTTTGTAAAAAGTGTCAAATTGGGCCCATTGCCCCACCCCTGGGGCAATGGGCACATGGCCTTGAGGCAAAGCGCCCACCCTTAGTCCCTTTACCACAATTGCATATTTTTCCTTTAAAAATGATAAAACAATACTTTACAGTTAAAAATAAGAAAAATGTAATAAAACATATGACATTCATTCATTTATTAACAACTAAAAAAATCATATCCTTAACTTGAAAAAAATATACCCTTGGCTTAAAATATCTATCGCTGACGTGAAGAAAAATATTTCATTGACATAAAAATATATATCCTTGACTTGAAAAATAAATCCTTGCGATTAAAAATTCGTCCTTGACATGAAAAAATGTCTCCCTGACTACAAAAAATATATTTAGTTGATCAGAAAAAATTTCGTTCCAGTTTCGTCCATAATCCAGATATTATGTGCAGAGAATTCGTACCTAATCGTGATTTCAGCCAACACCATAAAAACTCATCAACTTTTGACTCACTGTTAATGTTGACTGAAATCAACTTTTGGCAAGGCAAGAGTCAATAACTCGATAAGGGGTCAGAAATACGCTTAACTAGAAAGTAAACCTGCTGGCTTGAGGCTGCAAATAATGGCGTTTACTTCGAATGATAGCTAAAAAACAGCGGTAAGATGCACCAGTGAAGCTCACCCTTTATAACTCATCGTTCATTTATTCATATTCCAGAAGGTGCATTAACATCGTATAAGTCGTAAACCGGACGACCAATTATTATCGTATCTTTGGCATTCCGAACAACGTATTATTATCGTATAATTGGCATTCCGAACAACGTATTATTTTTGTATCAAACGTATTATTATCGTACCTTTGGCATTCCGAAATGATCACAGAAAAAGGCTAGCGTTATTTTTTGCCTCCTTGCAATGTTACCAATTTCGAATCATTATACCTCATTTTTGTTTTCATTTTCTTTTTACTTGAAATTCATACTTAACATGCAATCAAATTTTCGCCGAGTTAAAAGATATATTAGAAATACTTTTATTAATTTAATTATTCATTCAAACAGCCAGAATGTTGAAAAGTTACAAAGATTTTTCCCACATTTCCAAACAAGCTCACGTTAATTGAGAACCAAATTTTGTGCCGATATAAAAGTTCTCATGAGTCACGTTTTGACAGCCAGATTAGCCGTAGAATTTGTGACCTTAAAATATTTACGCAGGAGTTAAGTAGTAATAAGGTTGTTAAGTAGCAATAAGGTTGTTATGGCCAGTAAAACGCAGCGCATGCTGCACGCGTGTCTTGGGCTAGGCCTATGCGGGAAAAAAATATCCCGCGAGCGGCCTGCGAATGACTGAGTCCGAGTATTCCACTCAAATAAATGATGAAACTTTGTCCCGATAACGATGCACTTCCTGCCCCTAAGTGATTCATACTTACTCAATTTGGCTCTGGAAACGGCGTATGAATTCTATGTCTGCTTTCAGCCATTGATTTAAAGAGGAAAGCGTGTCACTATTCGCACAGTATAACCCATTGATTGTCCTGAATGTATGCGTAAGTTGGTAAACTGATATGTACATCAATGTTGTAAAGTGAAGTGACTGTGAGATTCAAACTTAACCATTTACTCCGCTAGAAATCTCAAAATATAGTTCTAATTCATTCCAATATAAGAATTGAATTAAGAACAATTNTACGTGGAATGGATTATGTTTGTACAGATATAGTTCACCGTCTTTGAGCCGCTGGAAATTTTATTGCTAGGGAGAATTAGTTCATGAGTCATTATGGTCCTTAGAAAACCTGAAGTGACTTAATTTTTGCATCGTAAAATTATTAGACAAGGGAAATGGAAGATTATCTATAAACGTCATGTACATAAAAGGCAGAGTTCATCCGTCATGTTTCTACTTCAATTTGATAGTTTGTGGTGCCTTGAAGAAACAGTTTCTTTGTTTAGCTATCATGGCGTGATATGAGCAATTACTGCCTTCATGATGTGTTATCCTGAAATTACAAATTAAATATTTTTATTCACACGATTTTCTCGACGCATTTGATGCAGCCTAAAGTTACTTAAAAAGCAATCCAAGCATCGAAATAATGTCACTAATGCCGCTCACAAGCCCGTTCTCCGCTTACACGTGACATTTATTGCATGTTTTCTTGACATGTTGACATGCTTCGAAATTCCAGTAAATACTTGCAAGTAAACGAAGCTCAACAATTGTGAGGCGAACGTCTGAGTTTCTCAGTGTCATTAATTCTGGCATCCGATCCCTCATGAGACTCTTCCTTAGGTGACACTGTGCTGATGGTTATTTGTTATTATTAGTATTATATTTGTTATAATTGTTATTGTTAATTTTAGTATTAATATTTGTATTAGCAGAAATAGTATTGTTGCTGGGCCTTCGATGTATTATTCAGCGAGAGAATTCGAATGAATATGTACACTAAATATACAATACACTTTCAAAATAATAAAAAATAAAAATACACTGTAAATTGTCAATTGTCTAAATAATAAATACACTGTCAATTCGGACAAATATGTACAATAAATACTCTTATGGTGTCGCTGTGATTATATTTGTGTTGGGATTATGGAGAGTAGGGATTGATCATTAATGATAACTCAATTAGCAATGCCAACTTCAATTATTACTTAGAGAGTTCCTTCTCTATTGTTCCTGTTCCGAACTAAACTGTGAACTATCTTAACACCATCGGCCTGAACACTAAAAAACATCAGCGTGTTGATGTTTTTTTCACTTCTGTTGTTCACATGTTTTGAATATTCTTCCTGTGCTGCATTTCATTGATTATTCTTAATTATAAACACGCAATAAATAATATTCCTTAACCGATGATCACGTGGTTCGAGCGTGTCAGCATGATGGCCATCTTGCTGAACTGCGTCACGCTCGGCATGTACCAGCCATGCCACGACGAGGAGTGCGTCACGACGCGGTGCAAGACGTTGCAGGTACTGTAGCGTGCGTCACGACGCGGTGCAAGACACTGCAGGTACTGTAGCGTGCGTCACGACGCGGTGCAAGACGTTGCAGGTACTGTAGCGTGCGTCACGACGCGGTGCAAGACGTTGCAGGTACTGCAGCGTGCGTCACGACGCGGTGCAAGACGTTGCAGGTACTATAGCGTGCGTCACGACGTAATGCAGGGACTGTAGCTCGCTACAGTCATGCAGTGTACAGTGTAAAAATTAAAAACCAGACTTGGTTTGAGCAGAACAGCAAAGGTTATAATTTATTCATGAGTATTATGCTAATGATTTCATCTCATGCATAAAAGAAGTCCATCACCAACCGACGACTGGCGGTTTACGCTCCTCACACGAGAAACTGTTTTATTTTTGTATGTATAATTGTTAAATAACCTCTGGACATGTAATTATGTTATAAAACTGCATTTGCTGCTGGGAATTTCTCTTCATTTGATCTATTTTTGTAATATATTAGGCCATAAGCGTCTTGATGTTCAGTATTGAAGCTGAATAATTAATTTAAAAGAAGCGCAGGAGGACGCCTAATTATGGGGGAACAGGCGTAGGTCCAGGTTTTTAGATGACGTATAAGAGAACAATATTATAGAAATTGTCTCGCTATTTTCTGCAAAATAAGGTTAGGCAGGTATGAATAATAAAATTCAGAGACCGCAAATAATTCGGTTTTGTGCAACGAAATAGTTATATTTGCTGAGAAAAGCAGCAGTACACTCATTTCTACTATATTCATCATTACATACATCATTACATTTATATTTACATACATCATTAAACCCATCTTTATATGAATCATTATATTCATCATTATACTGTTCATTCATCAAAATTTTAGAAAATAGAAATAATATTTTTTCTTCGCTGCATCACTTCTTGATCGTCATGAGTTTCGTTAAATTTAAACTCACTCTATTACTCTCCCTTCGTTCTTATTGATAAAATATCATCCACAATTTCAATCTTTCTTCATTTAATTGTGCATGAAGTGCACCACAATCCTTCTAAAATCTAAACTATCTTCGATATTTCCAAATCATGTCAGAATTTCTCGCCCCATCTTCCCCATATGTAGGCCATTTTTGTGCTTCTTTACATTGTATATTCAGAAGTTTACCTCGGGAGCCGAGACCCGCCATCTTGCCCCAAGCTATCCGGCTATTCTGCTGGCTTTTTCGTCGGAAACATGAAAGTTTTCGCCGAGATAAAGAATATGCTACGAAAAGGATAAAAAATATTCCGAAGGAAGTCGCTCGAGTTTGTTCCTTCAGCCGAAGGCATTGTTGGCCACTGGCATGAATTTTTTCAAGATTATTCATTACATTTTTTTCAAGTTCTTTTTTCGATTCCTGACATAGAAAATAATTTGGGATTTTGAGCGCAAAAACACAGCGCCGACGATGTCTGGTAATTAACGAGGTAAATCATGAAGCATTTTCAAATAATTATACGAATTCAGTGACGAAACGCGCACAACTTTCCCCGCAAATCATAAATTAAAATCAATTCCCTGGTGAAACACGGACCAGATTTTTGGTGGAATAAATCGAAATATGAAAATTGGCTGACTTTTTGTGCAGATTTTTGACGACCTGATCTTCGCTTTCTTCGCCGTCGAGATGCTCATCAAAGTCATGGCCATGGGCTTCCATGGCAAGGGCACATACCTCGCCGAGTCCTGGAACAGACTCGACTTCTTCATCGTCGTAGCGGGGTGAGTGCTAGGTTAAGTTAGGTTAAGTTGAGTTAGTTAAGGTTAAGTTATGTTAAGTTATAGTAGATTGGGTTAGGCTAGGTTAAGTTAGGTAAGGGCACCTGTAACCTCGCCGAGTCCAGGAACAGACTCGACTTCATCGTCGTCGCGGGGTGATTGCTTTGAATCTTAAATGAATATATGCATTCGTGTTCGATATTTGTCGTTCAAGTTAAATGTTTATCAACATTACTCACACAATTGTCGAGATGCTCATCAAAGTCATGGCCATGGGCTTCCATGGCAAGGGCACATACCTCGCCGAGTCCTGGAACAGACTCGACTTCTTCATCGTCGTCGCAGGGTGAGTGCTAGGTTAAGTTAGGTTAAGTTGAGTTAGTTAAGGTTAAGTTATGTTAAGTTATAGTAGATTGGGTTAGGCTAGGTTAAGTTAGGTAAGGGCACCTGTAACCTCGCCGAGTCCAGGAACAGACTCGACTTCATCGTCGTCGCGGGGTGATTGCTTTGAATCTTAAATGAATATATGCATTCGTGTTCGATATTTGTCGTTCAAGTTAAATGTTTATCAACATTACTCACACAATGGATTTAATATAAATTAAAATGGATGAATATTTTTAATACATAAAAATATAAATTAAAATGGGTGATTTCAGCACGAATATCCTTTCTCAGGCTGTTACTTTACTGATATTTTCTGTAAAAAATGTCTGCTACGAATAATAAGTAAGGCAATTGCATGGTCTGCTGAGGCTGACTTGCACTTAACATTAACATGCTTCATTAACACTAGAAATTGTATTTATTCCTTGTTTCAATGACTTTTTAGGTTCCTATTATTTCTTTAGATGATAAATTAAGTTGCTATTGTAATAACGTTGAGATTCATTACCATAATGTTACTCTAATCGTGCGTTTATGAAATAACGGTTGAAGATAAAACTCTTAATACAATTGTGACAGTATTTTATATGATGAAATTGATTAGTAAATGATGAAGGGTTTTTCATTAGAACCTACAAATAATTTATGGCATCAACTTTTCATTACCTATTGCTTCCATAATTCAGGTAGGAATATCGTAGTAAGGCAAGAATTCTTTGCAATTGTCAGAAGAATTCTTCAGGCAGCTACAAATAAAGAGCGGTCCAGCGGTCGCCCCCCTCCCGCCCCTGGAAGTTTACAAGAGAACAAGCGACGACAAACGTGTCACTAGAAAGTAGTTTTAGCTACAAACTTGTCGCGTGTTCGGTAACAAGCGCTTCTGATGGCAGCCATATACGCAGCCCAGTTATCTGAAATGAACGCTCTATGTCGTCCTATCGATATTCTGGTTCTTTATAGCATTAGAGTTCTTTTATACATACGAAGCAACGTTCTAAGCTTGTTAGTGATGTTTGTGCTCGAGGTGTAGGGCTGAGAGGAATCTCTTGTGAACATGGGGTAATGGAAGGCTATTATGGTGGCTCCGTTTATGCTGGTAACACAAAGGTTAAAAAATCTGCTGCGTTCGGCGAATTTTGTTCTGTGCTCATAATGACGAAAGGCTTCGGCGTGGCTTAGCATCAGGGAGATTGAGCCATATAAACTCAAAGTGATCTAAAGATAAATAATGTCAATTAACTAGAATATCATGGACATATAGGAAAATTAGACATAAATAGTTTTAAAATAACCTTTTATATTCACTAAATAATCCTCCCGGGCTTCATCTAGGCTTCGAAAACAGAAAAAATCTCAAGCATGCTGGCGCGCGATGAGCAAGATAAGGCGCAACGTGTCGAATTTCTCGAATATTCTGGCAAGTTCCTCGCCTTCTCGACAATTTTTTCGTGATTTTATCGGCACACAAATTAAGTATTCAGGCGGAAATTCTAAATTTGCATTGATCGTCGCCGCCATCATGTCAGGAGGTTGTTGTGTCCTACGTTAGCCGCGACACAAAGAAGTTGAAAGGAAAAAATATTGAGCGTTTTTTTCTCCGATGATACCCTGAAGATACGATTTATTTAGATACCGTTATGAAGAGATCGTTTATGTAGCCATAGACAAAATGATAGTTCTTTGTCCACTAATTATATCGATACGAGGAATTGATATGAAAATAGTATAAACTACCGTACGCGTAGCCGTAGACAAAGTGTTCACTTACAGCCTGCACGCTGACGATTAGTTGGAGTGTGAACCCCACAATTCTGGTAGAAAATTTGCTGGGTCGTGTCCGGGGATTCGCAGATGAATTCTGCTAAGTTTTGTATGATGTGTAGTTCATAATTAAGTATAAAAACTGTAAAGCAGAGTTCAGAGTTCGAGATTCTCTAGATAAATTTGCTATGTGACTTAAAATTTTGATTCGCTTCGATGGGTGAACTGCATTCTATTCTTCTGCACTACCTCACAAACCTCCAGACAAGGAGGCATTATACCAGCTAAACCATTACTCAGTTTACTACACTCCGATTTACATTACTAAACCATTACTCATTACTCCGATCAAAACTGACGTTCTTTGTTCCCTCTTTCTCTTTTAAACGTCATGGCTCTATTTTTCTGACTACCCCTGCAACGATAGCTATTTTCTTCACTTCGGTAAGGACTGGTTGCATGGTGTTGAGCTCTCCGTATCCTCATTACCGCCGTCCGTCGCTATGCTTTACTTCGATTTTTAATCATAGGCGAGCCTCGCTTTACAACTTTGCTCATCTCGACCCCGGCTCGTTAAGACTCTTATTTCCATTATCCCGAGACAATGAGACGAGACTCGTGCGAGACAATGAAGCAAGACCCGAGCAAAACAATTATGCGAGACCCGAGCGAAACAATGAAGCGAGACCCGTGCGAGACAATTAAGCGAGACCCGAGCGAAACAATGAAGCGAGACCCATGAGAAACAGTGAAGCGAGACTCGACCGATACAACGGAGCGAGACGGTTCCGTCATAGAAACTGCACTGCGACTTACAGCGTGCGCTTTGAGACGAAAAGTTCCCTGCCAAACAAAAGACGCAAATGGAAGTTCGAATGTGACTGAGAAAAGTGCGAGAGTTTGAGTTTGACTGGAGACAAAGTAACGAAAGGTCGAACATTGAAGGGTAAGAAGGGAAAGGTCAGATATGAAAGGGAAAGAAGTGAAATGTCGAGCGTGAGAGGACGTAAAAAGTGAGATGAAGAGAAGTGAAAAGTCGTACGTGACAGGCATAAAGAAAAACGAAGTTTTGAAAAACTCTGGGCTTTGACATCGAAAATTTGAAAAAAGGTAAAATTGGCGTCATGCATAGGATTTGATGAAATATATTAAAGTGCAATGATAGGTTGTTCGACCGAACAAAAGTGACCAAAATAGCAACGTAACTATATTTGCGAAGATAAATATCACGAAACTAAAAAAAGCTATATGTCAATCCATTAAGAACTTTGAAAATAATATAAAATTGCGCTGGTCATTTCCGAGTTGAGGAGATGAACCGCAATGAAGCTGAATGCAGCTTAAAATAGAGAACAAAATTCCAGAAAATGGCCATATTTTGAGTATCTCATTTATAATTTGGGAATTTAGAACAATTATTTGTCACAATTAGAACAACAATTTCGAACAAGTGTTTGTTCCATATATTAGTAATCTATATGTGGTGCAGGTAGGGCAACATGGGGCAGCGCGCCCCCCACTTTTTTTAAACTAAATTTTTGATGAAGTTTTAATTGATACGAGGTGGTTCTTTGTTTTGTTTAAAGGTACAACTAATGCGGAATGTATGATGTGAATTAGACGCCTATAGAGTTATTCAATTTTTAATGAAACACTATTTTGTAAAAAGTGTCAAAATGGGCCCACTGCCTCACTCCTGGGGCAATGGGCCCATGGGCTTGGGGCAAGACGCCCACCCTTGGTCCCTTTAGCACAATTGCATATTTTTCGTTTAAAATGATAAAACAACACTTTACAGTTAAAAATAAGAAAAATGTAATAAAAAATATGACATTCATTCATTTATTAACAACTCAAAAAATCATATCCTCAACTTGAAAAAATATATACTCTTGGCTTAAAAAATCTATCACTGACGTGAAGAAAAATATTTCATTGACATACAAATATATATCCTTGACTTGAACAGGATATATATTTTTATATATCCTGATATCCTCCTTGACATGAAAAAATGTATCCTTAACTAGAAAATATACGTTTAGTTGATCAGAAAAACACTTCGTTCCATCTTCGTCCATAATCCATATATTATGTACAGAGAATTCGTCGCGATTTCAGCCAACACCATAAAAACTCATCAACTTTTGGCTAATTAATTAGTGTTGACTGAAATCAACTTTTGGCAATGCAGGAGTCAATAACTTGATAAGGGGTCATAAATACGCATATCTAGAAACTAAACCTGCTGCCTTGAGGCGGCAAATCAAAAAATCATGCAATATGAAGTGTAATTTGTAATTCAAAAGCTAGTCATGGTTTTGAAAAGGTCATTGAGACAAATCTAATGATGTATAACACAAGACTACACCATGGCCGCTTTGCCCCGTGACACGCGTGGGCCCGTTGCCCCATGCACTAGGTATCATTTCAATTTATATCGTGTCAACATTTTATTTTAAAAGCTAATAGTCTAAACTTGATCTCAAAATTATCCCTATAAATATTACTTTCAAAATATAATTCACAGTAATTTCAAAAGCTTCATCTACAGTAATCAAAAACAGTTTTATTTAGAAGCAAAAAATAATAATAACGCAAACACTTAGCAAAACGTAAATCCGTACACTTCATCCCAGTGAAACTGTCGACCGGCGGTAGAGAACACGGACCAATATCTGCCATACTTAGTGAAAAATCCGCTATGGGCTCGTGACCCGCAGTGGGCTAGTTGCCCCATGTTACCCTAAATTGAGGATATATGAGCACCCTCTTGATGGTGCAAGATCGTTGAGATAATAACCATGGCTGGTTTAAAAATATCAATTGTCCCAAGCTGTCCCTAAAATTTGCTTCTTTACGAATCAATCCCGGTTGCAATTCATATTCTCAAAAGGCATCGTAAATATTATTATTTTAAAGTGACAACCTCAAGAGAAACGCTACCGCTGAATGCGCATTGAGAACAAGAATTTATCGCCACAAGTTTCCTGTTTCTCGAAACGTGCAATGGAATCCAGCAGTTGCGAGCCAAGTTATTACTATTTAATCTGAAATAAAACACGGTAACGTGTTCCGAAAAGCAGCTTGTACAAATTTCTAATGAATTTCAGCCGCGTGCTACCGAATTTAGCGCAACACACAATAATACTTGTGTAAAAACATAACCAGGTGTAAAATTATTATGCCCTTCTATTG